CTTGCAACCCCCCTTGCTCCCCTTCGTGCAGGCTGGCCATTGTGGCCACCTGCCTTTCCACCCTGCTTCATAATGTGTTCCTTCGTATGTAAACTGGAACCTCTAAGCATGCTGTGCGCCACGGATTAGATTTCTGGATGTTATGTAAATGTGTTTTTGTGTGTAGATAATATATTGAGAAGCATTGGTGTGGTGGAAAGAATGAATGATGTATAAAATATATATATATATAAACTAAGTTCCTATATATAGAATAGATCCTAGGCTACTACTAACCCTATCCAATATAAGCGTAAACTAATATGAAAAGTAGTTATAAAATAAAAGCACCAAGTTCTCAGAAATCCCTATTGCTAGTGTTGCAAGCAGGGAATCTGTTGAAGATCAGGGCTTCCAGCTGTCGTGGTCTGACGCAGAGGTGCTGGAGAACACCAGCAGCTCAGAAACTGACCCAAGGCAGAAAGCAGGGGAGCTGAAAAACTGCTGCCCTTTATGCATTTTCTCTGGCCCTCCCCCAGAGCACTGGGATTGGAAGGGACCTCAGAGAATGCTGACAGGTCACTGGCCAGCCACACATGTCAGTCATGAAAGCACTCCTTTCCTCTCTCCCCCTCCCTCCCCTTCCTTTTTTTCCCCCCTACAGGGAATCCAGTATAGGCAAGTCAAATATTTGACCCTTGTCAAATATTCGACCCGCACTGTTAATATTCGACTCGCACTGTTAAAATTCAACTTCCGGTATTCAATTCGACAGCTATTTGACCAGCTGCTATTTGACTCGACTTTCACTTTTCAAGGTCGAATATGTCGAATATTTGTCGAATCGAATATTAAGTCGAAGCTTTGCACAGCCCTGTTGTGTACTCTGGAGGATCAGTTGATACATGTTATGCATGCTAACAAATTCAAACTGCTGTACCCTTTCACCTCCGGCCAGACCCCATACTTTATGACAATGATTTTCAACTAAGGTAACATGAAATCTTTTTAAGGGTGCCATAGGACACTGCTCCATAGTAGCTCTTTTAGATGTGCAAATGGGTGCAAACAGAAGTGCAGCTCCCCACTCTAACTGAGAATGCTTTGCAGGAAGTGTCCTGAGTTACAAGGATCCCCCAGACCAAACTGAAGTTCACTGTGATTCTAGGGGGAAGGGAAATCTAGCTGCTGGCTGCCAGCCTGCAGCCAGTTTCCCCTAGCAACACCTGGTCCTCTCTGTCAGCCTAGACTGTTTTTCAGACTGGGAGGGAGGAAAGGGAACCCAGGGAGTCATTCAAGGAGTTCCCCAGCCAGCACTGGAGGATGGGACAGGTGTATTGGAGCCTCCCTGAGGTGTGGTGGGGGGCTCTAATTCACCTGTCCCACCCTCCAGCAGGGGCTGAAGAAACCCTAGACTGAACTCCCTCCACTCCCTTTCCCCCCTCCCATTCTGAAAACAGCTTGGAGGCTGGCAGGCAGGCAGGCAGACACAAGTTACAGAAAACACTATATTTTGAAACATCTTCATCTGAATCCTCATGCAATGAGGGTTTAGATTTTCATCCAATCATCCGTTTTTGAAGCGGTCCGCAGCTGTGCACTTGTGTTTGGTCATGGCTATAAATTGCTTTCTGTGGCCAGCTTGGGCAAAAATTGTCACTTCAGTCTGCGCCCATGATTCACAAAATAAACCCAGAGATTTCAAATTGGAATCCATAGTGTGAAAAACATTTCTGGAACCCATTTTTGTCTTTGCATGCATTACAACAAAAGAATTTCTCTATTATTTTTCCATAGACAAAAAAAGGAATGAAAGCCAAGAGCTGGCATTTTCCAAGGGGTGGTTTAAGTCTGGAAAATATAAGAACCAATGTTTTATGAAGAGCAGGAGAAAGTAACTAGATTGAGAAGCAATCTAGGAGCTATAAAGCAACAATGAATGTATTTATATCTACATTTACAAATAAGTCTTCCCACAACTAAATGTATTCAGACAGACTAGGACTGGTGTGGTTTTACAGATGCCCTAGTCATAAACTGGCCCCTCTCAGATTACGTGGCTGATGGCAACTACAGCCATAGCCACAGGCAATTTTCAGGAAAGTATCAAGCACAGAAAGAAATCTCTTTGTAGTCATTCAAATGAACTGCTGTCTTGATCTGCACTTTCCAAGCAATCCAGGGACAGGAAAGGTGGAATGCCATCAAAAAAATGTATGTAACCAAAAGTTGAAAAGAGCATTTTATATAGAAAGTTCTAGTTACAAACTCAGCACCAGCAGTTAGGATTTCCTTACCGAGTGATAATAGGGCTGTATTTTGGAAAGCCAAAAATCCCAAATCTCAGCAGTGAGCAGTCATACTGATTGCCTTTTAAAAACTGTGAAATACGTTCTGTTCATTATCACTTCCTATTAGTAACTATATCTCATAACACCAGGGTAACTCTAGTATGTGCTGGCCTGACTACAAGACCACCATCATACCTGTAAGTGGAAAAATGGTTGAAAACCTTTATTTGTGCAGTCTGATCAAGGAAGCTTTCCCTCCATTCTTACATACCAACTGCAAACAATTTTGGTTTACATTTCATCCAGTTACAGAGAACTGGTACTAGCCTAAGACAGCTCCTTAACTGTACTTCAAAAAAATGTAACTTACCTAAAAACAGACTATTATGTATTAGGAAATAAGATTGATTCAGATTCAATCACAGACTTGTGTCAAGTCTGGGAAAAAACACCTCCAACCTACAGCTTCATGTGATTTTTGAAATTTCAGAACTTTTTCCATTTGTAGGGTTTCAATGGAATAATTTTCTTTTTTTACTGAAAGCATCCAGACCAATTAAGCAACATTTTTCATTTATCTAAAGCCATTTTTGGTAAACACAGGATTTCAATTAACAATTTTGATAAACATTTCAAAGAAAATAATCATTAAGAAGAGTGTTGCAACAAAAAAGAAAAATGCTGCAAAAAGTTCCATACATTTATTTCCAAAAAAATGTTCAATGGAAAAACCTTTGTTCAACAACTTTAATGAGATTTACTTTTATGAGGAATAAAACATAAAGGGGGAAGGCCTACTTTAAAACAAGTTGAATAAAAATGGTTCTAAGAAACCCTGTTTTTTCCCTGGAAATCCTGTTTCTTATTAACAAATCAACATTCCTCTTGCAAGGTACTTGCAAGTATGGACAGGCCATTAAAAAGGAGAGACAGTCATTAACATCCATGGAATGAAGAGTTAAGAAGAAATCAGGTAGATTGCAATGAGCCATAAAGTCAGTTGACTCTGTCACTGCTGCCTGAAGAGAAATGCTGCTGTCACTGCCAAGCAGTTTGTTTTAAACTTTGGGTGGACTAAGGATCGAAGAGGAGTGCAACTGCCTCACTGCACCTCCCCTGGATCTGCCTGTACTTGCAAGCCACAGTTCAGAGACTGTATAAGTGAACAGGGATCCAGCAGGAAAAAGGACTCTGAACATAAGTGGAAATCCATGTTTCTAACACCTTGTGACCGCTGAGTTTCCAACACCTGATCACGTGCAGCCTTGGTCCGAGTGTTGGGTGACTTACGTCTTACAGTCTCCCACAATTGGCCTAGTAGCTGTTTACTCCAGGAGTAGTCTTCTCCTATCTCACCTGCCACGACTTTGAATGTTCCCAGTGGGAGGGTTGACTATCCAGGGTCCCTCAGTGGCACATGGTCTGCATGACGGTCACTCGCAGGGCTCCACCACCCCTACACCCTGACCTCACGCCACCTCGATGGATCCCTCTGTATTCTTGGCCACGTCCCCTCTCTCCTGTAGTTGTGGTGCCTCTTGGGTTTCCTCTTGTCTGGAGTATCAGCCCTGGAGCCTGCTTCACTTACCCCTTCGTGGGTCTTCTATGTTTGGTGGTCCTGCTCGTGGAACCTACACTCGTCCAGAGTAAACCCTGGCCCTCGGGATCAAATCACCACGAGACACCCTAGGGCTGTGCTATGCTTACTGTATATACCTAGGCCTGTCCTGTTTCTCAACCACTTTACCTGGGGAAACAAAAATGAAAAACACAAAAGAAAACCACAAGACACCTCGTCTGTCACTTCACTGAAACTTAGATCATCTCCCTCCCTGATTCCTTATAACAGGGTACCGGGAGCCTGGTTCCCCTACTGCCTAGCTAGGGGATACCCCCTTCTGTTGACATCAAATGCAAGCGTCTTCCTGCTTGGGTCATCCTCACCGCCTTCTCAGCTCCTTTCATGAGCCCTGGGCCACCCCACCTCTCTCCCTCCTGGAGCGTCCCAGTCCCAGAGCCTTGTAGTCCCTTTATGTCTGGTTCATTACTCTTTGTATACAGCGTAGGTGCCCTGTTCATCCGCAGCCCTCTCTGTTGCTCTGGCCAGGACCTCTCCAAGGGGGCCACCTCCTCCTCCTCCCAACCATTCCCAATACTCCCACCTGTGGTACTGTGGGTCTTCACAAGTCCTTCTCAGCTGCTCCTGCTGCTCCTGCCATCACAGCTTGCAGGAGCTGCTTCTGGTTTGTTCTCAGCACCAGTGAGCTGTTCCCTACCGCCGCTGCCGAGCCTAGGATCAGGAGCTTCTTCTTCATAGAATCATAGAAGTAGGGTCGGAAGGGACCTTGTAGATCTTCAAGTCCAACCCCCTGCCTGGGCAGGAGAAAAACTGGGCTCAAATGACTCCAGCCAGGTAGGCATCCAGCCTCTTCTTAAAGACCCCCAGGGCAGGAGCCAGCACCACTTCCCTTGGAAGTTGGTTCCAGATCCTAGCCACCCTAATGGTGAAGTAGTTCTTACGGATTTTTCTAACTCCTCAACTGATGCTCCTCTCCTCCTGAGGGCTTCTCGGAGTGAGTCCTGACGCCACATGCTCCTCCGGTCCATTCTACCCTCTCTCTTCCTTTCGCCGTCTGCCATTTTTATTCTCACTGGCCAGTGATTGCTGGTGACGTCACCGGCCGGCCTGAGCTGAATAAAGAAGTGGCTGACGAGCCGCACGGGCTTCTCTCCTTGTTCCCACTGCGCTGCGGCTTCTGCTGCAGGTAAGTGTTTTTTTCTTGTTTTAATTTTTCCATTTGTCCCCTCTCCCTCTCATCTATTCTATTCCCCATAACTTTCTTTTCTTATCTGGCATACTTCCTCCCATTCTCTCCTGGGACACACCTAAACTGAGCAATTACAAAATGGAATTAGCAGGAAAAAAAAGTTCTCTCTCAGAAAAGGAGGTTTAAAATAAAAGTTCACTTTATCCATCAAAGCTACATAACAAAAAAAATAATGGAAGTCTTTGTAATAAAACCTGATCAACATTCAATAACATTTATGCTGATTATTTTCCTTGCAATTTTATCTTTGTTGGGCTTGTGCATCTTATACATTGGAAAAGATGGCAAATTTAATTTCTATATTTTTTTACGTGGTCACATCTTAGTGGCTGGAGGATTGGACATATTAATGCATTTTTCTGTCTTTGGAGAAATTCTTTATATTAAGAAACTAGTCCCCAAGGTACAAATTTGCAAAAAAATTCAGTGCTCAGCAGCTCCCTTTGAGAGCAATGGAATGTTCTTGTCCCCAGGACAGCTGAAAATCTAGTCCCAGCTATGCAGTCAAATGAGCTAGGGTAGTTCTTTACTCCCAGATCGCATCCCACTAACACAGGCTTATGGATTTTCACTGGCACATAGGTTGGTAGGATTAGGTCTTGTTAACATAGTCATCCACAATTAAGAAACTAAAAAAGTAGCCTTTTTCCTAAGCATCTGCCATTCCATTGGTGGTGAGGGGAAGAGGGAGCCAGGGAGATGTGGGCAATGGGACTGGTGGGTAAACAGAACTTATAGTTTCATACTTGGTAGGGTCAGAAGGGACCTGAGCAGGTCATCAAGTCCGACACCCTGCCATGGGCAGGAAAGAATGCTGTGGTAAAATGACCCCGGCTAGGTGATTATCTAGCCTCCTTTTGAAGACCTCCAGGGTAGGAACGAGCACCATTTCCCTTGGAACTTGGTTCCAGATCCTAGCCACCCTGACTGTGAAGTAGTGCTTCCTGATGTCCAGCCTGAACCTACTCTCAGTCAACTTATGGCTGTTATTCCTAGTTACTCCTGGTAGTGCTCGGGGGAACAGGGGCTCTCCCATTCCCTGCTGGTCCCCCTTGGTAATTTTATAGATGGCCACACAATCCCCTCTCAGCCTTTTCTTGCGGAGGCTGAACAGGTTCAGATCCCATAGCCTCTGCCAGAAGACAAGGAGATGCCATCAGGGCAAGGAGTGTAAGG